GTTATTAAGTGTCATTCGCTCAGTTATGTCATTTTAAATGTAAATATGACACTGTTTGTTATGACAACCTGACATAAATACATCACAACCACTCTTTATCACGACAGCCTGACATTACCAACACAACAAAACTTGTCATAAATCTGTCATGAGGCATTATAATTGTGTCATGAATATTTTTGTTTACGTTTTCACTATATCTGTTTTTAAAATGTCTTATTAAAAGTGTCATGACTCTGTCGAATCATTTTAAGAGCGTCACTAATATTTCATGACATTTTAATGACCAATTCAGCTTGTAACACTGTAGTTGAGGTTGAAAATAGATAGTAATGATGCTGTTATAAAATTCATAACACATTTATAACGGCTTCATGACAATCATGTCTGACCATCACAATGACAGGTTTATCACAAGTTTTCTTGGTAATGTCAAGTTGTCACGATGACAGTCAAAAACAGGCTGTGATGTATTTGTTTACGTCAAGTTGTAATTAACCGCATTAACACTTTGCATGAAGCTGAAACCCTTATAATCATGGCAAGTCATGAACGTGAATAAGATGGCAACTGTCGTTAAGTGTCATATGCTCAGTTATGTAATTTTAAATGCAAATACGACATAGTTTTGACAACTTGACATAAACAGAACACGCGTCATAAATCTATCATCAACATGATTATAATGAAGTATTTTGAATGTGTCATGAATATTTCTGTTCACGTTTTCACTGACAAAATTGTCTCATTAAAAGTGCCATTAATCTGTTAATGATTAATTCAGCTTGTAACACTGTAGTTAATGACGCTGTTATGAAATTTAAAACTACATATCTACTTGACAATCATGTTTATGACAAGTTATGTTGTCCTGGTAATGTCAAGTTGTCATGACAACAAAGACAAAAACTGGGTGTGATGTATTTGTTTATGTCAAGTTGTAACTAACTTTATTAACACTACATGAAGCTGAATCCTTCATAATCATGACATGCCATAAATGCGAGAGATTTTATGAATGCTTATAACAACTGTTATTAAGTGTCATTCACTCAGTTATGTTGTTTTGAATGCAAAGATGACATTGTTTGTTATGACAACCTGACATTACCAAAACAACAAAACTTGTCATAAATCTGTCATGAAGCGTTATAATTGTGCAATGAATAGATCTGTTCATGTTTTCACTGTATTTGTCATTCGAATGTCTAAAGTGCACTGAAAAAAGTGTTGCATGCAGAACTGTTGCAAACTATTTATTTGTGTTGAATTTAAACAAACTAATTAAGTTTAATAATGTTCAACTTAATTTGTTTGTTTAAATTTAACACAAATAAATTGTTTGCAACCACTTAACATAAAAAATTGAGTAAATCCAAGAAATCCTCTGAATATTTTTTTTCTGTGTGTCGTAATATGTGCCATAATAAATAATGATGCTGTTATAATATGATTCATACCACATTAATAATGGCTTCAGTCATGTTTATGAAGGGTTTATGACAAGCCATGTTGTCTTGGTAATGTTAAGCTGTCATGACAAAAACAGGTTGTGCTCTATTTATGTCAAGTTGTCATAATGTCATCGTTACATTTAAAATGACATCACTGAGCATATGACACTTAATAACAGTTGTCATAAGCGTGCATAAAATGTCATGTGTCATGGTTATAAAAGTCTTACGAACACCCCTTCAAGTAAAGCATTACAGAAAATGTATTAAAATTTTACGCTACGGTTTACAATGCAATCTTGTTGCATGTTTCTGTACGAAACTAAAATTGCAATAGATCATTTTGAGGGATGTAAACAAAAGCAATGGTACCAACATATCTCCTGTTATACATTTTTCATTTCTAAAGATTCCGAGTATCCCCCACCCAAAAAAAAAAACATTATTGATAAACAATGTTATGATATTATGCTGTTATAACATTAAGAAATGATTGAATTGCCTCTTGTTAGAGTTATGAAATAGTTTGGAAAGCAGGAAATGTTATTAGGCAGATGACATGACCACATTGAAATAGTCTACAACACAAATAGTTCACAAACTCGTCTACAAAATGCTTCTTGAATTAATAATTTTTTAGATATCTGAACTAGAGAAGTCAGAAACTCAATGTAAGACTCAGCTTAACACACTGTAGGTGAAGTCAAAAGTAAATAATGATGCTGTTATAGGATTTATGACATGTGACAATCATGTTTATGACAGGTTTATAACATGTTGTCTTGTTTATGTCAAGCTGTCATAACAAACAATGTCATCTTTGCATTTAAAATGACATAACTGAGCAAATGACACTTAACAGTTGTCACAAGCATGCATAAAATCTAATTCAAGCAAAGCATTACCGAAAACTTATTGAATTTTCACGTTACTGTTTACAATGCAATCCTGTTGCATGTTTCTGCACAAAGCTAAAGTTGCAATAGATTAATTTGAGGGATGTAAACGAAAACAATGGTCCCAACGCATCTCCTGTTATACAGTTTTAATTTCTAAAGCTTCCAAGAATCCCCCCAAAAAACACAAATTGATAAATAATGTGATGATATTATGCTGTTATGATTGAATTGCCTCTTGTTAGAGTTATGAAATAGTTTGGAAAGCGGGAAATGTTATTAGGCAGATGACATGACCACATTGAAATGGTCTACAACACAAATAGTTCACAAACTCGTCTACAAAATGCTTCTTGAATTAATAATTTTTTAGATATCTGAACTAGAGAAGTCAGAAACTCAACGTAAGACTCAGCTTGACACACTGTAGGTGAAGTCAAAAGTAAATAATGATGCTGTTATAAGATTCATGACATGTGACAATCATGTTTATGACAGGTTTATAACATGTTGTCTTGTTTATGTCAAGCTGTCATAACAAACAATGTCATCTTTGCATTTAAAATGACATAACTGAGCAAATGACACTTAACAGTTGTCACAAGCATGCATAAAATCCAATTCAAGCAAAGCATTACCGAAAACTTATTGAATTTTCATGTTACTGTTTACAATGCAATCCTGTTGCATGTTTCTGCACAAAGCTAAAGTTGCAATAGATTAATTTGAGGGATGTAAACGAAAACAATGGTCCCAACGCATCTCCTGTTATACAGTTTTAATTTCTAAAGCTTCCAAGAATCCCGCCAAAAAACACAAACTGATAAATAATGTTATGATATTATGCTGTTTTGATTGAATTGCCTATTGTTAGAGTTATGAAATAGTTTGGAAAGCGGGAAATGTTTTTAGGCAGATGACATGACCACATTAAAGTAGTCTACAACACAAATAGTTCACAAACTCGTCTACAAAATGCTTCTTGAATTAATAATGTTTAGATATCTGAACTAGAGAAGTCAGAAACTCAACGTAAGACTCAGCTTGACACACTGTAGGTGAAGTCAAAAGTAAATAATGATGCTGTTATAAGATTTATGACATGTGACAATCATGTTTATGACAGGTTTATAACATGTTGTCTTGTTTATGTCAAGCTGTCATAACAAACAATGTCATCTTTGCATTTAAAATGACATAACTGAGCAAATGACACTTAACAGTTGTCACAAGCATGCATAAAATCCAATTCAAGCAAAGCATTACCGAAAACTTATTGAATTTTCACGTTACTGTTTACAATGCAATCCTGTTGCATGTTTCTGCACAAAGCTAAAGTTGCAATAGATTAATTTGAGGGATGTAAACGAAAACAATGGTCCCAACGCATCTCCTGTTATACAGTTTTAATTTCTAAAGCTTCCGAGAATCCCACAAATTGATAAATAATGTTATGATATTATGCTGTTATGATTGAATTGCCTCTTGTTAGAGTTATGAAATATTTTTGAAAGCGGGAAATGTTTTGAGGAAGATGACATGACCACATTAAAATAGTCTACAACACAAATAGTTCACAAACTCATCTACAAAATGCTTCTTGAATTAATAATGTTTTAGATATCTGAACTAGAGAGAAGTCAGAAACTCAACGTAAGGCTCATGTTTTCCTTCTTTTTTCTGCAGTGCATCATCAATCGGGCAGTAAATTAATATTCACCATATCATAATCATCCTTTAAAACGCTGACCGTCTACCAGCACACACAAGTAAAGCTAAATAGTCTCTTTTTTCGTTTAGTTTCTCATGTGAAACCCCTGTATTATCAACTGATGACGTTATGAGCACTGTTTTTGAGGGCACTAGAGTATAGCACTGCATGCTGTATGAACAGAGACCCATAACAAACTATTGCATTCTCTTTTACGTGAACGTAGCATTACACCTAAATATAGAATATCTAGCACCTTTTTTTATTAGTTTTTTTTTTCTTGGTAACTATATGGCTTTCCATTATCTAGATTCCAGGCAAGTGTGTCAGTAACTGAGGCAACATTAGAAGCACAAATGTGGTGAGAAAACTATCCGTCACATTTTCCTGTCGTCTTCAATAGCAAGTACAAGCACGATAAAATCTTGTAGTCATTCGGCTGTGTTATAAATGTGTGCAGTACAGTGCATGGCAGTTATCAGCTGAGCAGAAAGTCCCCGACAACCCAGAACCCAAAGCCAACTAGATCTACCTAAAACGAAATAAGAAAACAAAATCGAAACCCAATTGGGAACTGGTTTAGACATGCATGCATATTGTGCACAATTAAATACTCGCCCACCCACCGTCTAGATATCTCTCACGGAAAAATACAGATTATCATTACTTTTTTTTTAACGTTGTTTTTTTCTTTTTAAATCATGCAAACACTGTAAGAATAGTCTCGGAAGTGGTCTAGGTAGGACAGTGTGCAGCGCGGCACGTTTCTCAAACGGGATTACAACCTTTAAGTGTGGTTCAAGTATACAAGAACACGGAAAAACTCGAATTCGAATAACATACGCTAATAATAATCATAATAATAATCATAATAATGATCGGCTGCAGTGACGAAAGCCTATTCTCACTCGATACAACACGTCATTTTTTTTTCGTTTGTTTTTTTTTCGTTGCATGCCAGTCCTATAATGGAATAATATTCAGCACTATTTTAATAAAAAAGGAATATTAGTTCAGTCGATTACATTTAAAATATGCATGGCCTGAGGAAAACAATATACCCAAATATATCTCCATGGCGTCAATCCCATTCGAAATGGACTGTTTTCCTTTATTTTTCAATTACAGAGAGGCCCTGAGTGATTTTTTTTTTTTTTACTTGTACTCAAAATATATGCCAGTGAACAGATATGTATACATAGATTACTTATCAAAAGTGTGTGGATTAAATTCATTACAATGGCTTTGTATTTTTAGTAGTTTTTTTTTCCTCTCTAAAACCTGCCACGCAAAATAACACGCAACATTCTCTTAAAAGAGTCCCTTTGTTTTTACCCCCCGAAAAAGCCAGTGTTTCTATTGAGTTACAATGACTATTCAGTGGACAAACGACTCGGATATATCTATATATATTTTTAAAAGTCCTATAATTAAAGTACTTACTCCGGGAATAAAAACAACACCCAAATAGTTCATAGTTTTATCTCCTGAACGTGACGTTCAGGTTGTTTTTGGAATCGAGTGAAGCACGAGTTGAGCGTTTTACAGTGCATTTTCTTTTCTTTTTTTCTTAAAACGACCCTAACGCTCTATGTCTACCATTCCCAATCCTCTTCAGGATTTCCGTGGATCGACTATACAGTCAGCTGGCACACATTAGAGGGCCAAACTACAAATACAGAGGGTTTCAACATTCTTGTGTCTTAAAAACAAGACGATAATTTGCAACCTTTCACACCAAGGCTATGCATACAATGCTTTTTTTCTTCTCTCTTTCTCTTTGCCTGAGACCTGACAAGAGGAGGCTAAACGACTAATAACCCAACCGTACGTTTCCTTCAGAAATGCTCTGGAAAGAGGAAAATAAATAACAGCACTTCTTTTAAAGAAACAAAACAAACGGATTAGTAACAGGTTTGTGCTTGTCAAGGTCTTGAGAAGGCAGAGCTAAAATCTTCAAGAGTATCTGTTGATTATTTGGCTCACGAATGAGGGAAACACAAAAGAACAAAAGCCTGGTCCTCTGAAAATCAGGTTCACCTCATTGCACGTATTGCTTTCCACA